AAAAAGAAAAACCTCTGTGCCTTTTTTTTTTTTTTTTTTTTTTTTTTTTTTTTTTAGCATTGTATTTCTGGCAGTTTATCACGTTATGCTGATATCGCTAACAGAGCCACTGGTCATTTCAAGCTCCTAACCTGCTCAGCTGAATAACTGATTCAATCTAAGCAACTTCTTTGTGCTAGTTTTCATGTGTTCTGTTTTTATAAGCAACATTTAGTACACTGTTGAAGGAGGCTGCTATAAAGCTGCTAAATTCTAGATAACCAAACTTTTTTTTTTTTTCTTTTTCTCTCTTTTCTTTTTCTTTGGTAGGTTAGACTTGTTTGTTTGTATTTGCAATATAAAAACAGCAAGCTAGCGCTTGATTTTTGGTCTTTCTTGGTGGGATGAGGCAAGTGTGAAGTCCAAATCTGAGTATAAAGAAAAAAACGCAAAGCTTTGTTAATACTGTGATAGAAATACAAGAAACTTAGTCTGTCCCCATGTCTGGTAGCTCTGACTTGGGAGGGAGGGAAAGCCTTTGGGGTCTGTCTCAGTGCACCATTCTCAAACCATCTGGTCCAGGTTTCTTTTTTTTGTACCATGCCTGCAAGGGCAAAGTGAGCTTACGGTGGATCCGGGGTGGTCCTTGGGACACAACAGCCATGATGTTGTATTAACTACTCTGTCCCTAAGGTATCTATCCCTAGTCTTTATAGACTTATAGGAGGAGCAATTAGAATATTTTGAATAGGATAATAAAGCTGAAGGCTACATTGTCTCATTCTCTTTTATCTAAATTTCACAGAGTTCATGAGGAGGTAATGCATGTGGTTGTGTCCCACAGAGTCTTCTTTTTACTTTCCCCGGTTTAAGAGCCTGAGGAAAGACAGAGTTGGAGAACTGTCTGACACATGCAGTGAGGGTATGGCTCGTGACTTGATACTCTCTAAGTTTTGTATTCAACATTAATCTTTCAATCCCAGCTAACTGAAATCTGCCAAGCAGTTTTGGAGCTATAATTAAGCTCATATTTACTTTTTATAAGTCATTAGTTCATACAGGAAATGCAACTATTTTTTTAGTCCTGTTACTGTTTACGTGGACTAAATACATATGTGTGCTTAATCAAATGACTACGTGTCTGCAAAATAATTTATTGTACACTTTTAAACACAGCAAGGGGGTCTTTCTGGTTTAGTTACTTCCATTAATTTTGTCTCTTTTCTCACCTGTTGCATGGGGAAGAGGATGGCAAGGATGAACTGCATGTAGTAGGTTTTGTATATGAAAGAGTTGTTGGTCTGTATTACTGAATTTACATACATATATGCAAATAGTTTGTCTGCATTGTTTGTGTTTATTATTTGTTGTATACACAGATGCAACATGTTGAATAAAACATTTATATGAAGGCATACTGAAATACAACATCAACAAAGATTTATGTAACAAGTAGACTGTGCAAAACATCATTGCACTGGCCACAGTATGGTGAAACTTCATGTAAATAGGTTGGCAAACTCAATTCTCCCCTTTTACCATGCCAAAGAATATTTTAGCTCCTTAATATAATACCTCTATTGCTGTTTTCCAGGATAGGACTTCACTACGTTATTCCCTCTGAAATTAATTTCGCTGCTACGTGAAACCTGTTTTCAACTGTCTGTTACTACTGAAGTACTGTATAGTAAACCTGACGGAATCAGTTTGTATTTGCAGATTGAGCATTTTGTACTTTCATGTCTAGTTGCCTGTGAATCCACAGCAGTCCAGATCTTTTGCATGCTTGCTGGATTTTATCTAATCTCAGAGAGATTACAGAGAGATTGTTGACTCCGCAATCAACCCATTTTACCATCTCATAATGCACAGATCTGGTGACACTACACATAGTTGTTCTCTCTGCTTTTGCTTCCTTTGCTTTTTTTAGTCACTCTCAAATCGATTATTTTTAATATATTGTCCTTTTCATAAAATTTAACTTGTGTAGAGTCACGTTGCTCCTCAATGAACACCCCCGCCACCACCAGATATAAAATAAGAGTTCACTTTGCCTGAATAGAATTTTCCTGAAAAAAATGCTGACAATATATGACTTTTTATGCATATACAGGAAAACTTTTTCTCTTGGTTTAAAAGCCTTCTAAGAAATGAAGCATGAAAGCAGGTAGTTTGGTCCATACATTAAAAAGTGCGTCTTGCTGATCCGTTTATTGGCATAAAGCAGAAATTGTTCTGCGCTAGTCAAATGAGAATGGAAGTAGAATTAGACATAGGAAGAAAGTTATCTTTCTTTAAATATCCCTCTGGATAAAATCATATTCCGCGCGATGCATTTTAAATGTCTAATAACAGTATTTTTTCATGATGACTAATGCAAATGCTATGACTTATTTTTAAAGATGTAATAAAATCTTTGCTCTATTACCTAGTCACAGAAATATTCAACATAGCTTTCTTCATCCCAGTGACAAAGTGTGTTATATCATTTAGCTATGAAGTGAGATGCTATTCTATAAAGAAGCAAGGGCAGTGCATGAGAATAGGCCAGGTACATTTAAATCTTCATCTCTATGACTCTAGAAGACAATACGGCCAAGAAAAAAAAAATCATGATGACATTAATAATTTACAAAAGCAAATCGATCCACAGCTGTTTTATGGATGATATGCTGATATGATTATGGATGATTATGCCAATAACATAATCATAATCATTATGCTGATAGCAATCGGCATAATTCTACAACATGCTGGAAATGTTTTGTAGAAGCATTCAGACCACTTCCAGATTGCATTCTTCCTATCCCAAGAAGAAAGCAGTTTAGCCAGTATAAAATCCCCATTTATCCAATTTGTTTTCACCACCTAAACTACCTTTTGTCATTGGCCTGAGAGCAGACACTAACTATGAAGAATCAGGCAGCATCGTTCACTGCCTTGTGCCTCTTCCTGGTTTATGTTTCTTGAATTTCTATCACCAGGAATGAGATGTAAAATCACAATTTATTAGTACAACTATATTCACATATGCGGAATAATAATCTTATTCCTTCAGGTCTCGTTTTTCCAGTGAGGAAATGAGCCTCAAAACAGATCTACTGGGAGTCACATCACCAGTTACCTCAGCATGAAAAGAGGGAAAAATGTAACATTGTAAGAACAGAGTAAAAATTGGAAAGGAAATTAGATATTCACTACACTTTTAGTAGAGTTAATAAATATTTTAAGATTTATAGTGGTAGCACCATTTGGTTTGATAATTTACATTTTAATTAGCCCCTGACAGTAGCTGTTAGAATATTCCAGCATATTTCCATACTTATCTTAACAAAAAATTTAGATAGCACTTTTTGAAAGTCTATGGCTATGTAATTCACCCAGTAACCAAACTGTGGAAGTTTAGTGTTTTTTTTTTAAAAAAAAATCTATCTAGAAACCAGAATCATTTTACATTCTTATAGTATATAAATTTAAAAGGAAAAGAAATTGCAAAGTAAAATGACGAGTAAAGAATCTTTCTTTTCTTTTTTGGTCTATCATTATGAGTACCTGAAATTCAAAGGCCGATCTACAGTAGATATAAATGTTTGTCATACCAGGAAACAGGTCAAGAGTTTCTAGTGCATCTAAATAAGAGCTTTGATTTTCAACTATCTCCTGTTTTACAGTACTAAATGCAAATGGAAGGAAATGCAGTACACCTTGTATCTTTCCCTGTTTATATTCTGATTCAGGAGAAGAATGTATATTCCAAAAACACTGGTTAATATAGGAAGATTCAGGTCAGTGGTATTCATAAATATAAATAAGACCAATAATCTGTGCTCTCCAGTTAGACACCAGGGTTGACAAAATGTGTATATTTTAAAGTGTTTGAAAGTATTCCTGTTAAGCTCTATACAGTTTAAGGGTTATAAGTAAAAAATACAAAGTATAATTTCAAAATGGGTTTCTTTTAAGTTTCTTTATGGTATACGAACACATTTTAGAACTCTGCCTGATAGTTTGGTTATTTAAAAAAAGAGCAACTAGCAGCCTTGGGATATATGTCTCATTATTTATGTGCATAACTCCTGTACAAGTTATGCATAGATGTTTGGTGGTTATAATATGTCTCCCTGAGAACATGGGTTTCACAAGCTTCATTTTTAGAAAGAAATAATTCAGCTGTGAAAAAAATCAGGTAAGGTAAACAGCAAGCTACATGGGAAGGGGGACTAATAAAAGTGATTATTCAAAAATTCATAAATTCTTTTTTTTTTTTGCATTCTAATTATTATATGTTCTGAAACATTGTATTTTCCTATTTCAAAAATGTCCTAATAGAAAGTGTTTCTAATAGAAAATAAATTTCTAAACTAATAATGGAAATACCTTTTTCAGTTGATATACAGTTTACTAATTTCTGAATCATGTACCTCTTTAAAAACCTGGACCTTGGCACCTAAACCACAATATTAAAAGTTTGATATTAACAAAGTATTTTCCAACCATTTAAGCAATTTCTTAATCAATCATAATTTCACAAAATGTAATCACTTTTGAAAATAAAAGTATGTATTTTTTTGCTCTAAAGAATTAAAGGGCTGCCAAATCTACATGTATTTAAAAAAAAAAGATTCATATGTAAATAAGTTAGGGAAGTCCCAATAGTTGTGCATCGTTCATAACTCAATGTGAATTTCACACTGAGCAGCATTTCACCATTGGAA